CTGAAGAGAGAAGAACAGTCTTGGCTTGGATGGTGGGTAGGACACTGTGATACTTAGAATCTGCTTGAGATAGACATTTTGGAAACTTGATCATTCGTGACTGGAGGATTGTGTACAGGGAGTTTTGATTGTGAACAGGGAGGATTGTGAACAGAGAGTTGTTTTCTGATACCCTCTAATTATGAATGTAATAGTCTAGTTCACGAGCAGAGTCAATGATCAGGATGAGTGGTAGGGAAGTTTGGAACTAATGACTCATTAGCTGACAGTCCAGCACAGTGTACATTTTCCTTGAATTCTAATTGCTGGTTTGTAGATTTTCATAGTTGTGTCATCAGATAAAATACCAATCAAAAGATTTACTTCATATGATGCAGGAACTTATGAAATATAGGAAAGTGCTTAGAGAAAAGCATGGATTTGGTTCTTCACATAGTTACTAAATGGGAAACAAATGAGATCAAAGAATAAATTTAAATTTTACAAAAACTATGGCCATTAATTTCGGGTGCATGTAGCATACTGACATAAGGTATCAGTCAAAGGAATGAGTGTTAAGTGAGGAGGGAAAATATCCTCAAATGTGATGTAGAATGTCCATGTCTCTGCAGGGCTACATGCAGCTACATGAAGTGATGATCAGGAAAGAGTACAGGAAGTTGCATCCAGTCTTATTCGAGGAAGAAAAGCAACACATAAAGAATCTGAGAAAGGAAAGCCAGTGGATTTTGGAGAAACTAAGAAAAAGTGAAGCCATGATGGTCCAAAAGAGGAATCAATTAAGAGACATGTTTCAGGAACTGGTGGTGATGTGCCATGGAACACATCTGGAGCTGCTTCGGGTGAGTATGGAGAGGTACATGACATGACTCTTAACTGGAGACCACAACTGTGACTCTGTTACTGGATCCGCCAAGATAGGTTTACATATTTTCCACAATATAAGGTGGGTGTGTTTCCTTTTTAGAAATATTCTGAATATTCTAAATTCTATCCTGACCATAAAAGGGTTCAAACTTGATGGTACTGAATGAGGAGATTCCTCAAATATTTCTTTCTTATTTTTCTTTTTGGAATAGTAAATGTTACTAAACATTACTAAATAGTAAATCTTCCTTTTTCACTAGCTTTCCATTTTTGTCTTTCTCAGCTATTATGCATGGATTTGGGGGAAAGCTGTTTTTATACCATTTTTTGTAAGCCCTTTTTCCTTGAGTTCTTTATGAGGTGGGGTTTTGAATACAGTGTCTCATTCTGCGGTCCACAATAGGCTCCAAATGACAGTAATCTGCCTGCCTCAGCCTCTCAAATGCTGGAATTACAGGCATAAGCCACAGTGCCTGGCTGCAGCCACCATTTGGGCTTACCCTTAAATAAGGTCATACTACCTTTTATGGACAAGCCCAGGGAAGACTGTGCTAATGGCTGTGAGTTTGAATCCCTGAACTGTCACCGAAGGCTTTCTCACCCTTATTTTACTCTCAGGATTCTGATTAAGTTAAATTAAGATTCTATAAACATGCTTGACTGACATTCTGAGAGATAAAATTTTACAAGGTGGGTGGGTGTGATGTGATTTATATTATTTCAACTTTAAACCAAAAAAAAGAGATGGCACTTGGACAGATATCTAACCTTTTCCTGTTTTCTTCACAGGATCTTGGAGAAATATTGGCAAGGTGAGTTTAGACATCAATAAAATCTAGTGTACTATTGAGAGTTATGAAAGAGACCTTGTTCTTTAGGGAATCAAAGTTATACTTGAAAGATAATAACTGTTGCATGTACATGTATTGGGGCATTTTTGTGTTCATGTTTAGACATAATCTTACTGGATAGCCCTGGCTCACTAAGAAACTCACTAGGTAGACCAGGTTATCCTTGATAACACAAATATCTGCCTTCCTCTAGGGTACTGGGAGTAAAGGCCTGCTCCATCACACCAAGCATGCTTGGGTGTTTTCATATATGATTTCTGTTCCCCTTGCTTTTTTTTTTTTTTTTTTTTTTTTTTTTTTTTTTTTTTTTAATGTGCTGGTGCCAGCCGGCCAAGATGGACAGTACCTGCAAGGGAGAGTGATGATTGAAAGAAAAAACAAAAGACAGAGAAGAGATACTTGGGAGGACTGTCAGTAGAGACTGCAGCACCGGTTTATTTTAGTCCGCCTTTTTATACAGAAGAACATCAGAGCTAGCCACTGTTTGCTTAGCTCAATTAATTTCAACAGCTGTTTTTCCCACCTGTATCTGAGGGTCAAGGAGCGGTCAAATGCTTGTTGTGAACTCCACCATATAAACACATTCCTCCTGACTTGGCAGATTAGGTACTGGTGTGCAAAACACAAACTCAGTAAACAAGCCTGCCACAGCTCAATGTACATAATGGATTAATAGCTCCCAACATTTATGTGTAACTGAAGTATTATATGCTTTGGGGATCGATGCTGAAGTTTCTAGCTGTAAACTTATGAACACTGGTCGAGGCTCATGGGCCATATTTTTCTCAGGTAGTAGATGAAAGAGGCAGGTAGCATTGAGGAATGTGTTGGTAGCAGGAACGAAGAGTCAGAAAGGCCATTGAAAGGAATGTGCCCTGTCTCCTAATCCTGGAGTTTCACCCTCCTATCAGGAAACCTGCTGAGCTTAGTAGTTATATCATTTTTAGTAATTTATTATTATTACCATTATAACTGTGGTTGTGTATGTGTGTGTTGTTGGGAGTGTGAGTGTGAATGCAGACACGTGTAGGTGCTATGATGCATTTATGGAGTTCAGGGGAGATATTTGGGATGTGAATTTTCTCTGTGGGTTTCACTGTGATGGCATCTTTTGCACCAGGCAGATCAATTTCTTCTACTTGCAGGAGTGAGTCCATGCAGTGGTGCATGCCCCAGCCCGTGAAAGCAGCACTCAGTGCCAAGCCCATCACTGGTCTAATCCATAGGTTCAACCACTACCAAGGTGAGTGTTAGCACTGCTGGAATAACCAGAGAGTGCCCTTAAACCATGGGGTGTCTTTCCTACTCATTAGACTCTTTAATTTGACAGGAGCATATGCCAGAGAATTCCACATTTGTGGTAATATTTATTAACATGGTAACTGTGATCAAGAAAAACATCATAAACACAATAATGTGATTCAGGCTGAAAATATATCTGTGGTGCAATTACATGTAGGTAATTATAAATTAATTCAGGACATTTTAATTTAAATTCAGAAAGCCCAGTAATGGAGATCATGGCTTTAGAGATGGCTCAGTGGTAAAGAGTGCTGGCTGCTCTTGCAGAGGATCTGGGTTCAGTTCCCAGCACCTACATGGTGGTTAACAACTGTTGTAATTGCAATTCCAGGGGCTTCATTGACCTCTTCTAGCCTCTCCAGAAATTGCATGACATGGGTACACTTACCTACATACAGGCCAAACAGTCATATGTACAAAGTAAAAATAAAAATTTAAAGCATCAAAATATAAACCAGATATCATTCTGAACACTGGTAATCCTGGAGCTCTAGAGGCAGAGACCAGAGGATTGTTTATGAATTTGAGCTCAGCATTTTTTATACAGTAAGTATCATGTGAGCAATGACTCACTGGCATGATCCTGTCTCCGAAAAAAAAGTAAATGACCAAATGCACAAAACAATATACCATGAGAACTAAAAGTAAAACAAGTTGGCAGATAATTCATTGTCTTATTTCCCAGGTAAAATAAAATCTGAATTAAAACTTCACAAGCAACGATAGCTCTTAGACAGCCAGGTGTTAACAAGAGTCAATTGTGTCTAAGTATGCACCTGTAGCTTTTCCTTCTTAATTATCAATATGATTAATGAGCTCGAAATCATAACACCAATGGGAAAATGGTTACCACTGATATCTTATGTGTAACATCTTATGAAGAGAGCAATGAAGCCAGGAAATGATCTGGACGTGGTTGCAGGGCACACGTCCTTTAACACAATATATTCTTGTCAGGTTTATTCCACTATATGTGGACTCTACTTTTGTCAATTCAGTATGTTTCCATCTCTCATCTAAGAAATGTAAATTTTATTTTAAGTGAAATATTTTATTCTCTCCACAGTGAACATTTCTTTGGAAACTATAATCATGATCCATTACAAGATGAGCCTATTTAATTATGTGAAGCGACTCAGCTTTAAACATCACCTCCAGGACACATCTGTGAATTCTGATGAAGCCTACTATATCTCCTGGGGAGCACAGAGATTCAACTATGGGAAACATTACTGGGAGCTGGATGCAACTGACTCTTGGGACTGGGCTATAGGGGTCTGTAAAGATTCCCAGTTAAATAGGTGTGGCCCACTGATTGAACTGAAGGACATGTTCCTTCTTGTATTTGTGAAAGACTGTGACCATTACAGCCTCCTGACTACCTCCCCATCACTTACTCACTATGTAGAGATACCACTGGGCAAGGTTGGGGTGTTCCTTGATTGTGACCTTGGAAGTGTGAGTTTCTTCAATGTAGCCAAGAATTCCCTCATATGGAGGTACCCTGCTGGCTCCTTCAATTTTCCTGTCAGGCCTTTTGTCTCGGCTGGCTGCACATGATGGGGACAAGATGTACTCTAAGCCATCCATAGCTCAGGGAGCCTGTCTCAGTTGAAGTTAAATAATGTAGTGCCTGTTAAGTGTTTCCTACTTTATTGCTATCTATTTCATAGAAATTAAACATTTAATATAGAATGTGAAAGATGGTTGACTCTGATTGTTTTACATCTTTAATTCATATATTCCACCAGGGACATTTGTTTTGGATGCTTAAACATTGTTTTGTAGACTGGTGAGAATTACTAAACTCTTAACTAGTGATATGGTTCAGCGATGAGCCCTTTACATGCATGCTCAGGACCCTGGTTTGAATCCCTATTGACCTAAATAAACCTAGGTTATTCATCAAAAGTGAATAAATTAAGAAGTAGCAGAATCTAGTCCATCCTCAGGAAAAGGAATATTTTCGTTTTCCTGAATAAAGAAAAGTTATTCTTTCCTTCATCTTTCACTTTCCTATTTTAAAGCCATTTTTTGTAGCACATTTAGAGAAAGCTGAATTAATTGCTCCCTACATTCATTCCCCTCCATTCACTTCCTCTCCCTTTCCTGGGAGCATGTCCAGCCTCCTGCTCAACACCCTGTGTGTGGGGAACCATCCCAGCTGAAGGACCTCAGAAGCAGCCTTCTTCTGAAGAGACTACAAGTCAGACTCAGGAAGTGCCTGAGCTCTGATGAGCACATGTGTGACCCACAAGGAGACAAAGAGGATCTTCTTTCAAGAGGACAGGATCCTGCTCTGTCAGCTCTGCTCTAACTCTGAGGAGCATGAAGGTCATAGACACAGTCCTACTGAAGCAGATGCTGAGGGACAGCAATGTCTCAGAGAGCACAAGAGAGTAAGCGGGTAGGAGGCTTAGCATGAAAGAGAGTGCCCCTCAGACCCCCTCCCTGGCCTCTGAGAAAAAGCTGCCCTCCACCTGACTCTAGAAATTCCCTTCATTGTTCAAACCCTTTCCTGGTATCTGTTTATGATTCCCATGGAAAGGTCTGTGGCAGAAGAGATAGAATGTTCTGCCCCAGGTAAGCTAGCCAATGATAGTATACCTGATACATCTGTGTATGGTTTCTATGGGAATAATCTGGGGCAGAAGAGAAAATGTTCTGCCCCAGGTAAGATAGCCAATGGCTGTATATGTAAAGTCTCTGGAAATCAGCTCTAGATTTTTCCAATCCTCTCCTGGTTATTCTGTATATAGTTTCTATGGACATCCCCTGCTTTGTGGTTTTTGTGGTTTTTCTGCTTAAAAGCCCTCCATTTTCACTGCTTGGGGTTGCAGTCCAGCTCCCGAGACTGTGTCCCCAGCCGGTTGGCCTCAATAAAGTGCTTCTTTTTGCTGAGACTCAGTGTCTGAGTGGTCAGTTTGGGGAATTCCTCAGACCCCGAACAAGCACATCACAAGAAAAACAGCACAATGATGAAATATTTTTTGAGTAGTAGCCACATTTTAAAGAACTAATGAACAGGCTCTGAATATACCATGCTCATATGTTTGCCTTCGTGGAGCTTACACCCAGTAGGAAATCCATAAGTTTAGGGATCAATTTTATGTTAGCCTTGCTTAGTAATAACTTTTCTTGAGTAAAAGTTTGTATTGTTATATAGTACCATAGTCTGAAATCTTAAATTCATATTTGTCAATGATAAAATGTGTTATGATATTTTCACTCTCTCTAAAGTGATTGCATCTAATGGCCCATGATTCCGAGTGTTCATATGGTTCACACCATGTTTCAATGTAATAGCAGTGATGTTTGAACATTGAGAACATTAAGTTGCTATATTGTGTCATATATAAAGCATTCACATTGTGCCATTGCTCAGTTTTGTAAATGATCATAAGGAAAATGGCTTTTCCTAAAGCGTTCAGTGGATGCTAGAAAAGAAGTGGAGCTCTTGAGAGTGGTGGGGCAGGGCAGAATTTATAGGAGCCATCGATTCCCTTCATGTCATACTCCTAACATCCACTATGCATCATTAGTGTTCTGTTGCTTTCTGTTGTGATAAAACATCATGACAAAACCCCCACAACTTGAGGAGGGAAGGGTTCATTTTACCTCACAGGTTAAATTTAACCCAAGGCAGCAACCTGAAGCAGAAACAGAGGAGCTCTGCTTACTGGCCTGATGCCCCTGGCTTGCTCAGATACCATTCTTATACTGCTCTGGCCCAGCTGATACCTTTCTTATACTGCTCTGGCCCAGCTGTCTAAGGATCGCAACAGCCCCAGTGGGCTAAGCCCTTCTATGTCAATCAGAAATCAAGAAAATACCCCACAGGCCAGTGTGATGGAGGATATTCCTCAATTATAGTTCCTTCTCCCAGGTGAGTGTAGTTTGTGTCAAGTTGACAAACAAGTAACCAGCCCAATCAGATTAATCTTTTTTCCTCCACTGGGCTCTTCCTGGAGGGCTCTTCTCAGATAAGTGATCTCTGGCTCTCAGACTGTCACAGAAAATTCTGATACTCAAATAGCTCTGACTTAAAAGTGGCTGTATATTCATGTTGGAAAACTGAAACTCAAACTCTGTGTAAGAAAACTAAAAGGAACAGAGGAGCAAGGTAAACGTGTCAAAAATATAAGTGATATGACAAGTGACTTGAAATAATGTTGAGATTCCAGAGCTTTGTGTGGGGATGGCAGATGCTGTGGACTAAATGCCCCGAGTCAGAGTCATATGTTGAGATCTTAGTGCCGAAGGTGATGGTATTAGAAGATGGAAGTTTGTAAGATCAACTATAATGGTAGACCCCACAGGAACAAGATGGATATTATAATAAAAGATATGAGAGACACTGTATAGCCTATAAAGATATAAGAGAATTGCCCCCAGAGGAGCAAGTATTTTTTGGAGACAGGTTCTCCCTGTATCTCCAGCTGGTCTGGAGCTCCCTATGTAGACCAGGCTGGCCTTGAACTCACAAATATCCACCCACCTTTGCCTCCCAAGTGCTGGGATTAAAGGCATGGGCCACCATACTGGCTAGGAGGAGGTACTTTTAAAGATTTGGTGTGTGTGTGTGTGTGTGTGCATGTGAATATATACCACGTGTTCAGAATCCCATGTAGGCCAAAATAGGGCAGATGATCCCCTGGAGCTAGAGTCACAGGTGGTTGTAAGCCACTGGAAGAGGTTGCTAGAAATTGAACTCTGGTCCTCTGGAAGCACAGCAAGAGCTTCTTCACCAGCGAACCATCCCTCCACTCCCCTGAATTATGTTTGCACACATGCCAGATTCCTCCACATACTGATTTGGAAACTCTAACTTTGAAATCTGTGAGAACTATTTTTTTTCTAGAATTGAACCTGATGCTCCCTCCACACATGCTAAGCAAGTACTTTATGTCAGAGCTACACCACAGCCCTGAAGAAATGTTGTTCATTGGGACACTCAGTTGTCAGTGCCCTAGCAGCCCTACCTGTGTAAGAGCCCAGGTCAAAAACCATAGGAAGGGTTGGCAGATGACTGCTGTGAAATCAATACTATTTGAATTTACTTTCTCTGAGTTGTGGAATTCGGCCTTGACTGTGCTCATTTGCCAGTTCTGAATACTTTAATCTCCCCATTTAATATTTAAGTTTCACAGATGTCTCATGGTATGTGTCTTTGTAAAAATGTATTCCATTACTCAGGTGTCATGACCCCCTATCCCTGTAAATGTGGGATTGCATTAGGAGAATTCCTGGGATTGTTTGTAGAGGAGGGTAATAGAAACAGCTCACTGTCCAATATCTCCAAAACTGTCCAAAACATCTTTCTATTACTTTTGATAATGCTTAATTTCTGTTTGGCAGCACAATTTGGAAGCTGTGAAAGACAACCTTATTTCCATCTCAGTCAGGTAGAAGGGTATAATCCAGGACCTTACTTCAAACAAGCAGCTATCACAATGTGACAGTGTTGGGATTGCTGTTGCTGTTGCTACTTTACAGCTTGAACACCTCTGGATGTCTCAGGCTTTGTGGTCACCAATAACCCTGTGATCTTAAGGGGAAAAATGTCAATTGTATTTCCCCCACTTTCTATGACTCCATGGTGGCACGTACCTTTTGTCTCAGTACTTGAGAGGAAGAGGTAGGCAGAGCTCTGTGAGATGGAGACTGGCCTGCATAATGAGTTCCAGGCCAGCTGCATCTGAGGCTACAGGGAGACCCTATCTGAAAAAAGGGATGGGGTGGGTTGGAGAGATGGCCCAGCACTTAAGAGCAGAGGACCTGAGTTCGCTTCCCAGCACCCACATCAGGTGGCTCAAAACTGTCTGTAACTCCATCTCTAGGGCGATCTGGTGCCCTCTGCTGTATTCCACTGGTATCTGAACTCACATGGGTGTATACCCACCCATACATTATATATGCATTTTTTTAAAGGAAAGGAAAATAAAAATTTCAGACATTGTTACTTTAAATATTTTTCTGTCCTTTCTTACTTATTTTTGGAAATCAATTATATGTCATAGCACTATTGAAGTAATTCATTGTAATACTGTGTTTTGAGACACCATTGCCAGGATAACTTAGAACTGATGATTTTACTGGACCCCCCAGTAGCAGAGGTTGAACTCATATACTAACATGCTCCACAAGATGGAGCCCATACCTGTCAGTATATCATGGTCAAATATGTAGTTCAATAACAATGACCATGGCTTACAGTTACTGAGCACTTGTTATGTCAGAAATTATTCTTGGCATGTGTGAACTCGTTTTTGCAGGGACATGGTGTCCTGACCTCCGCCTCCCCCTTATAAGAGCTTGGGTATCTGTGGTATTTCCTGAAATTGTTTATCACAAGGACTTCCTCCTGATTCTGAGAAAAGTACACCCTGACCCAAAACTAGCCTTACAGTCAGGTGATCAGGGGAATGCCCAATTATCATGTATCCTGACTCCACCTCCTTTACTGAAAAGGTATTTAAACCCTTGTCTCAAAGAATAAAGAGAGTCCTTCCTCCCACTCCATGATGGTGTGATTGTTTGTTCAATCCTGACACCCTCTG